AATTAGAGGAGTATGATTTCGAGGTGGTATACAAGCCCGGGAAATTAAATACCAACGCCGACGCGTTGAGCCGTATCAATATTGTAACTCGAGCGCAGTCGAAGAAAGAGACGGAGACAGTTGCGAGTACGGGCTCGGACAGCGGGGTCATCACACCTGCTGACGATGAGGTTTTGGAAATACTACGGGAATACCACGATACACCGGTAGCTGGTCATCCTGGGAAAAAGCGAATGTACGCTAAATTGAAACAGAGATTCTATTGGAAGGGAATAAAATCTTACGTGGAGAAATACGTGGGAAGCTGTGAGGAATGTCAACTCAACAAGCTGGGAAAAGCTACGAAGGTGCCCATGATCGTCGGAGAAACCCCTCAGACGGCGTTTGAGCAATGTGCTATGGATATAGTTGGTCCATTGCCCGTGACGAGCGCTGGAAATAAGTACATCTTGACGTTCCAGGATGCTCTGACGAAATTCAGCAAAGCTATTCCTATTCCAGACCAGGAGGCTAACACCGTCGGACGTGCGTTCGCGGAGAAAATAATTTGTGAATATGGAACGCCACAGAGACTTCTCACGGATCAAGGACCAAATTTCGTGGGGGAAATATTCAAAAATGTCTGTAGACTTTTGAAAATAAAGAAGATACAGACAACGGCATATCATCCGCAGACCAATGGCATTGTTGAGAGGTCGCATCGCACTCTAGTGGAGTACCTGAGAGGCTTCATTCAGGAGGATCAAACTGATTGGGATACGTGGCTTCCATACGCCATGTTTGCGTACAACACTACGCCCCACACGGCAACAAAAAAGACGCCATTTGAGCCAATTTTTGGAAGACGCGCTGAATTACCGAGGGCCGTGAAACAGTCGATCCGTTTGACGTACTGCTACGATGACTTTGCTCAGCAGCTACGGGAAAGATTACGTGCAGCTCATCAGGAGGCGAGAGAGACCCTTGACAAGGTGAAAGAACGATCGAAAGTTCAATATGACAGAGATGAGGAGCCA